TGTGAGCCCAGGCGATAACCAGCCTGCCGTCGAAGTTATCTCATACGCCGCGCAGGGCGGCAGCAACCCGTGCTTTGGCGAGCTCGCACTGATGCACAACAAGCCTCGCTCGGCGACCGTGACCTGCGTCTCGGCTGGCTCGCTCTGGGCCATCGACCGCCGCTCCTTCCGCGCGATTTTGATGAAGTCGTCCTCGCACCAGCTCACGCGCACCCTGCGCTCGGTCGAGGTGCTCCGATCGCTGTCGCTCAATCAGCTGCAGCGGTTGGAGGAGCTGCTCACCGAGGCTAGCTACTCAGACGGCGAGTACGTGATCCGGCAGGGTGAGCGGACTGACACCTTTTACGTCATCCTTGAGGGCTCCGTCGCCGTAACCAGGAGCGATGACCCAAGCGACGCCGGCGCGGCCGAGAAGGAGTTAAGCACCTTCTCTTCGGGATACTTTGGTGAACGGGCGCTCATTGAGAAGGCGCCGCGCGCGGCGAACGTGATTGCGCGCGGGCCGCTTCGCTGCCTCTGCGTCGGCCGCGACGGTTTCGAGGAGGTGCTCGGCCCGCTGCAGTCCATCATCGACGCGGACAGGAGGCGCAGGGAGCGCATCTCAGAGCAGCGGCTGCTACAGCGCGAGGCGCAGGGACTGGCGAGCGTGCGGCGGGGTGACTTTGTAATGTACGCGCTCGCGGGCGGCGAGTGCTGCGAGCTGGCGCTGGCCACGCATGCGCCGAGTGGCGGCGAGTACACCCTGCGCGGCTACTCGAAGGCGCGCGTGCAGAGCGCGGGCATGGCGGAGCGGGTGATGAGCGAGGCGGCGCTGCTGGCGGGCATCGCCACCGCGTCGCCCTTTGTGCCGCTCGCGCTCACTCACTTCCAGGACGAGTCCCACCTCTTCACCGTCTTCAAGGTGCGCGCCGTTAGCGACCTGCAGACGCTGCTCGACGCCGCAGGTCACTCGATTCGACAAGAGCTGTTGGCGCTGGCCTCCTCGTTGACCCACTCAACGGACTCTCCTTCTATAGGCCAGCTCGACGAGGATTCGGCGCGCTTCTGCGGCGCGGGCGCGCTGCTCGGACTGCTCCACCTCCACAACGAGGGAATCATCTACCGCAACCTTTCGCCCGACGCGCTCGCACTGGACGCGCGCGGCTATCTGCAGCTGATGGACCTGCGGTACGCAATCCGCTCCGATGGCGGAGCAGCGATCGACGCGTGCGGCTCCGCATACTTCCTCGCTCCGGAGCAGCTGGCGCAGACGGGTCACGGTGGGCTCGCCGGCGCCGCGCCACCGCTCCCTTCTATTTGCCCCCGTCCGACCGTCGTCTAGTCGATCCACAATAGGCGCGCCGGTCGACCTCTGGGCGTTGGGAATCCTTCTCTTTGTGCTGCTCACGGGCGGTGTGCCGTGGATCGCGCCCGACGAGGACGTGGATGCCGTCACCGAATCTCAACTCTACCAGCGCATCACGGCACACCGCCACGGCGGCGTGGCCGCCGCCGCAGCGTATGGCTTCTCGAGCGGCTTTGAGGCCTTGGTCAACGACCTGCTGCACCCGAGCCCAGCGGAGCGGCTCGGCTGCAACCCCGCCGTCCGCGACGGCGTGCCGAGCCACGAGTGGTTTCGTGCAGTTGACTTCGACGCTCTCAGCCGCGGCGAGCTCGAGCCGCCTCACTTGCTGCGCATGTGGTGCGTCGATATGAGCGCGTCCCTCGCCCAGCGAACGCCGGACGCTGCTCTCTTTTTGGAGCCGCCGCCCGAGAGCGACGCGTCCTGGTGCAGAAACTTCGGGGTGGTGGGAGACTGGGCGGCGAGTGGCGAGAGGTGAATGTGTGTAAAGCCGTACTCCATGCACTTGTTACAACAACATGACATGTACATGTACGAAGGTGGCACGCCGCTTTGACCGGTCCCGCCGTATTACACTTTACAGAGTCAGAAAGCACAGCGAGAACACGAGAGAGCGTGTGATCGACTGATGAGTGGCTTCGAGAGTCACAAACACGCCATGGATGCAGAGCCTGGCCCTCACGGACCACACGCGCATGTACGAGAACACTCGCCCTCGGGGGAGCCGCCCCAAGCAAGACATCCCACAAACTCAGACATAATCCTCGTCCTCCTCCTCGTAGCAGGCCTGCTGCCCCGCCGCCGCCATCGGCTCGACCTCCGCGATCCCCGCATCGAGCAGCGCCCGCTGCTCTCCCACTGACCGGCTGAGTTCCTCCGAGGCGGGCAGGAAATTCGCTACGTCCTGCACCACCTCGCGCGCCGCTCGCAGCACCGCGAGGGTTTGCGGCGCGCGGAAGCGGCGCGTGAGTGCCTTCTCGGAGCGCAGCCCCGCGAGCTCCTTCTCCGCCACCTCGCGCGCCACCTCCGCGAGCACGGCCGAGGAGAGCTGTGCCGCCGCCGCGTCGTCGTCGAGCGACTCCGGCACGCGCAACGCGGCCATCTCGCGCAGGGCGGGCGCGTAGCCGCCGTCCTTGGTGATCTCCCCCACCGTCTTGGAGAGGAGGTGCAGCATCTCCGAGAGGCGCGCGATGGTCTGCACGCGCGACAGCGACGCCTACCACTCAGGCGACGCGGCTCAGGCGCCGTGTCGCCGACCGCACACCGCGCACGCGAGAAGAGGCCGCCTTGCCCGAGCGGAAGGCAGCGACGGCGGAGCTCACCTGTTGCAAGAGCCGAAGTGCGTGCGGGGGCGGGGAGAGCCGTGAGGGACGGCCGAGGCGCTCGCCTGCGTCTGCCGCGTGCGCAGCGCGCCTCGCCACGCCACCATCGACGCGAGGGAGGAGAGGCGGCGATGCGCCTCGCCCGCGCGGCCGAGGAGGGCCTCGTCAAAGTGAGATCCACCCCCCTTCTTCTTGATCGAGCCGAGCCGCGCGCCCCACTCCTCGGCCGCCAGCGGCAGCCCGAGCGAGTCTGCCGCCCCCTCGAGCTCCTTCAGCGCGCCCTCGGCTGCGTCGACGCCATCGCCCAGCTCGCCGAGCGCGCGGCAGACCAGGGCGGCCACCTCGTCCTTCCGCTCGACGAGCCGCGTGTTTGCCTTCTTCCGCAGGGCCTGCTTCATCGCGTCCGCCGCGCTCACCTGCCTCGCCGGCCGCGCGGATACCAAGCTCTGCGGCGCCCCCGCCGGCGGGGGAGGCGGCGGGGAGGGAGCCTTCGGCACCGCTACTGGCGGCGGCGGCGGCGGTGGCGGCGGGTTCGGCGGTGGGGGAGGGGCGGCTCGCACGCACGGTGGCGGAGGCGGCGGCGGCGGCGGCGGCGGCGGAGCCTTCGCCACCAGCACCGCCGGCGCCGGCTGCGGCGGCGGCGGCGG